TCTGGCAACCAAGGAGATTAGATAAGTTTACACGCAAATCAGAGGACAGGAAGCTGTGTGCTCTAAGTCCTTGGAGAAATGGAAAGGGTAGGAACCCGCCTTGTCTACTTTCCAGGGAAATTACAATATGCAAACCTTGAGTAAATCGTTTGGCAGAAAGTTTGGCAACAAAACAATTGGTCGCCCAGCTTAGATACTACCCCTTATTGCCCCAGAATTTTTTCTGTTATGGGATCGGTGGTATGAGTTTAGTTTGATGTTAAGTTTATTATTTAGTATATTAAGTTTTTTTCAATTAAGCTTACTTTATTTACCTAGCTTAGTATATAGTAGTTACTTAAGTCTATGTATCTAACGTTGGCGGTATCTAAAGAAACTAAAGTTCGATGAAATATGCTTTGGTAAGGTCTTTGGGACTTTTTTGCGACACCGATTGGATTTCGCCATGCAAGTCTGGAGACCTTGGACAATCAAAGACCAAAAAACCCTCGAAAGGGTTCAACGACGCGCAAAAAAGTTGGTACGAGGCCATGGGTACCTCCCTTATGAGACACGCTTGACCAATCTTGATTTATTTACTTCGGATTACAGACAGCTACGCGGTACCTAATACAAGCCTTTCGCATGCTACGGGGTCACTCGTTTACGCGGAAAACCTCTTAAACTACGTGTGACTGGTGCAATATTGCACCCACAAACATTCTTCTTCTCTAAGAGAATAATTTAGGTATGGAATGCTCTGCCTGTGGACACTGTCATGACCCCATCCGTGGACACGTTTAAGATGAAGTTAGACCATTATAGCCATAACGTCATCTGAGGTTAGCAAGAGGCAACCGTTACCAGACACCGCCCAGTATTTGCATGTTACTACATGCAATACATGTACATATTACTACTCTGTATTTTTCAGTAGGACTTGTTTATAAGTATTACCCCGTGCGCTTTGCTTTTTATGCGAATCGCAACAAGTGCTTTTACCGAACCTTGTGGTCCTAGGATATGCGAACCTGTAAAGGTCCTCCTAATAGCTGTCCATAACCAACTGCTGAGGGTGGTGGCGGCCACCTCTGTTTTCATCACCTTGTCGGCACACTCTGTAGCCAGCCAGGGCGTATGATGGGCGCGTCTGCGACACTTCAATGATGTCCTCGTGACCTCTGCGACCTTCACCTCGTTTGATCATTAGGATATTGATAAAAACCGCGATGTGTTCTTCCTGGCATGCTTCAAACACTTATAGCAACAGGCCATCCTATCTTGCACATACTTACCCCCCCCCCATACGAGTGCCAGTCCTTAAAATCCCTGAAATGGCACTCATACCTCTAGAATTTCCGGACAATGCCTAAGGAGTTTTTTAACCGGCTGCTCTTTTTACACAGTTCCATTAACTGGCATCGCCACTCTTTTGCAATGTTCTGCTGTAACAATGCGTTTCATAGCTGCTCTGTACCAATACGAAGTTCAAAGGCATTTACCTACATTTCCCTTAATAAACCTGAACTGACCTTAGCTGAACCTAAAAGTAAACTAATAAACTGAAAAATAAAATAAACTAGAAGTAAACTAAAACTAATAAAACTAAAAGAAAGCACAGGACTAGGGGCAAGGGGTTTCTAGGGTGGGCGAACGACATTGTTGTTATCGAAAGTTTTTTAGGCTCGGTCGGAAATACGTCACTTGGTGCAACTTAACCACGTAATTTTCACAAGCTTTCGACAGGTAAAGACACAAGAAACCAAAATGACAGTTTGCGGCGTATAAGGCATCATCGGTTAGTCATGCCCAACGCCAGGTGTACGACACCTGGGCTAGGGAATTGGCCCGTGACTCGATAATAGAGCGTAAGCGCCTGTACCAAGGATATATGTTTAGAAACATAGACGGTACATAAAGAAGAAGAAGATTTGATCGCTGCCTGACCTTCCGGCATCCATCGCGGATTCTTCACCAGCGATATTAGCAGAAAATAGTAGCAGATGATACAGATGATAAATGCACAGGAAGTTGCAGAATTTATAGGACGACTTACCCAGCCCATATTCTTTGTTGAGGCTCAATTTGGCCAAAACAAGTGGGCTCTTGGGGAATGCAACGGTCACCGCATCGTCTTACGCCAGCACCGGGGAACCAGATGGCCGAGCAATAATCATGTCCAATTCAACCACGCGTGATACAAGTTCAACAGGTCACGGCCCACATGGCAACCATCAAGTAATCCACGCGCAAGAGGGCAATTATCGTTAATTGTCGTTGTTTTTCGTACGTGTGCAGTAATGACTGTGTCCTCTAAATCCTACAACTTCCTGTGCACGTATCACCAGTTTCTGCTACTATTTTCTGCTCATATCTCTGATAAAGAATCCGCGATAAATGTCGAAACTGCAGGCGAATAAAAGTGTTGTCCCGGCGATCGAATCTTCTCAATTACTTCCTGGAACCCGCATGTTTGCTTGTATTGACAGGTGGTACGTACTCAGGCCTGGGTCAGGTTAAACATTCACAGTTAAGACATACTTGCTGTCACCTAAGGCTAGCGATAATCCCTTTAAAATGAACCTACCACCTCACGGGAGGAAGAAGGTGCGGGGTAAAGAGTTTAGTATTTAAGAGAAAAGAAACAAACCTGGATTGCGAGTGTGAATTTTGTCGAAGAAGTCACATTTACAGGCGATCGAAATCCCCAAAGCCAACAGTCGGTATAATCCACTCAGAAGCTTGTACCTGTAACAGTGAAGATAGAATAAGCACAGAGGGCTGTCAGAAGATACGAGAGGTCTGAAATAAGTTTTCAAAATATGACATAAAACACTGGATGGATACGCATATATAGTACAAGAAATAAGACGGCAACGAGAAATTCCGCCGTAAAAAAAGAGGGGAAGTATGGTATCCTTGATGACAGTCTTGCGGGAAGCATATTTTCGTTTTATTGAGCGCAGCGACGTATACAGACCGCAAGAGGCGACAACTCGGAAACAACCAAATTCCAGCTAAAACAGGTGCATTTCGCAACTGCAAACAGGCAGAGGATAGATACGAACTGAGAACATAAAATATTGTACATTTGTTCAAAATACGGCGGATGGAAACCATCCGCAAACGAAGTTGAACAGCCTAGAAGACTGATCAAAGCACTCGCTTATGCCCTTCAATGTTAGTAAATGCAACCTTTTTCAAATCGGCAATTGTAGAGCCTCCAGCCTAATGATTTACAGCTTAAACGATACACTGCGGCAGCAAGTTGACAGTCAGGAAGACTTGGACTTGCCGAATAATTTTTAAACCCACTGCCTGCTACACTTGACTTCAATGTTTACAAGCTGCGCGCTTTGTACATCCTGTTTAAGGAAAAGTAAGTTTTCACCTACGGTTTGCGGGAGGAGTCACATAGTTCTCATAAAATATTGCAGCTGATTTAGAACATACTGAATACACTATAGGCAGCATTGATAAATTGACGAATACAATGTATAATGAATGAACACCTCACAATCGTAAAAAAGCTCATAGTTAGAAACTTTTTAAAATCGTAAGATACCCTTTCTTTGGGTATAACATTTAAAGAGGGCGTTAGTTTCTACCAAACGAGTATATTTCCATAAAATATATTTGGATTTATAAAGACGGTCAAATGTAATGCTAAAAATGCATATTATATGAGCAGCCACTTTTTACAGTACATTCGTTTAGTTAGCGGTCGAAAACAAGGTCGTTAAAAAGCTGGCATCCTATCGGGACTGAAGTGAATTCAGTTTAGCCTACATTATAATAGTATTACAACCTCACTCAATGCCGGTTAGAGAAAGAGTATCAATATTTCGTATTTGTCAGTATGTTACACGAAGTCTAGGCCGTACTGTAGACTCAGGCACGTCTGATTGGTTCTACTCTCGAATGTGCTGACCTGGCGTGAGGATGGATATTTCAGCGCCGGTTTCCCTCTTTCTCTGACTCTTCTTTCTCCCATGCACTTGTCAATCTGCCGGCGAGTACGTTGCATTCAATGACTGACGTAGCCTGACGACACACGCGCATTCACGACTGTCGTCGACACACG